GGGCAGGAACATTAAGATGCTTCGATCCGATCGGGGTGGTGAGTATCTTAGTTCAGAGTTCCTGACTATCTAAGGGAATGTGGGATTGTCTCACAATTGACACCTCCTAGGACACCACAGTTGAATGGTGTGGCTGAGAGGCGTAATCGAACCTTGTTGGACATGGTTCGTTCCATGATGAGTCGAGCTTCGCTACCAATCTCATTCTAGGGGTATGCCTTAGAGACTGCCGCCCATATCCTTAATCTAGTCCCTACAAAGAAAGTTGCCAAAACTCCTCACGAGATGTGGACTGGTAAAGTACCTAAACTAGACCACATCAAGATTTGGGGTTGCGAGGCTTTCGTGAGACGTGAGACTCATGATAAGCTCGAACCTCGAAGCGAGAGGTGTATTTTCATCGGCTACCCACAACAATCCTTTGGTTACCTCTTCTACAGACCTAGTGACAATGTGGTCTTTGTAGCAAGAAGAGGAGTCTTTCAAGAAAGAGAGTTTATAAGCCAAGGAGACAGTGGGAGGCAAATTGATCTTGAAGAAATTCAAGAGTCAAGTGGTGATGGAACTTCAAACTCTAGCCCTCAACTTGAGGAGGAAACTCCTGTTGAGCCAATTGACGAATCTGTACCTCTGAGGCGTTCCACGAGAGTTAGGAGTGCACCTGAGCATTACTATGGATTCCATATTACTGCAGAAGGTGAGACACTTATTAGTGATGGAACACTAGTAAGTCAAGATGACCCTAACAGCTAAGAGGAAGCCATGGCAGGCCCCGAGTCTGCTACATGGAAAGAGGCTATGGATAGCGAGATACAATCCATGCATGACAATCCAGTTTGGAACTTGGTTGAAAATGTACCAGGTCGTAAGACAGTAGGGTGCAAATGGGTCTTCAAGAAGAAGACCGACATGGATGGTAAAGTACACACTTATAAGGCTAGACTGGTTGCAAAGGGCTTCTCTCAAATTCCTGGAGTGGATTATGATGTGACCTTTTCTCCGGTAGCCAAGATTAAGTCTATTCGGGTTCTGTTAGCCATAGCCGCATTTCATGACTATGAAATTTGGAAAATGGATGTCAAAACCGCTTTCCTTAATGGAAAGTTGGCTGAAGATGTTTACATGAGTCAGCCAGAGGGTTTTGTTAGCAACGAGTACCCCAATAGAGTGTGTAAGCTTGAGAAATCCATTTATAGGTTAAAGAAAGCACCTCGCAGATGGAATCTTTGCTTTGATGAAAAGGTCAAGGAATTTGGCTTTTCTAGGAGTGAAGATGAATCTTGTGTGTATGTCAAGGCTAGTGGGAGTATAGTTAGCTTCTTAGTATTGTATGTGGATGACATACTACTCATAGGAAACGACATTCCAACCCTGCAGGAAGTAAAGTCCTGGCTTGGAAAGTGTTTCGCTATGAAGGATCTTGGTGAAGCTGCCTATATTTTAGGGATAAGGATCTTGAGAGATCGGAGTAAAAGACTAATTGGACTTAGTCAAAGTACCTACTTGGATAAGGTGCTGAAGAGATTCAGAATGCAAGACTCCAAGAAAGGAGAGTTGCCCATCCAGAGTAACGCCAAACTGAGTAAGACACAAAGCCCTAGCATTGAGGCTGAGATAGCACAAATGAGTCGAATACCTTATGCTTCGGTTGTAGGATCGATCATGTATGCTATGACGTGTACCCGACCTGATGTAGCTTTTGCCCTGAGCATGGTTAGCAGGTTTCAGGGGAACCCTGGCAAGGCACACTGGACTGCGGTAAAGAATATTCTCAAGTACCTACGAAGGACTAAGGACTGGGTCCTTACCCTCGGTGGGAGTGATGACTTGAGAGTTGTAGGGTATAGTGATTCTAGCTTCCAGACTGATAGGGATAATTTCCGCTCTCAGTCGGGCTGGGTCTTTACCCTAAATGGAGGAGCAATTTCTTGGAAGAGTTCCAAGCAAGAGACAGTGGCAGATTCTACTTGTGAATCAGAGTATATTGCAGCTAGCGAGGCGGCAAAGGAGGCGTTATGGCTGAGAAACTTCATTGGAGACCTTGGAGTTGTACCAGCTATTAAAGAGCCAATGGAAATTTTTTGTGATAGTGAAAGTGCTGTTGCCTTAGCCAAGGAACCAAGGGATCACGGGAGATCCAGACACATCGACAGAAAATACCATTTCATCAGACATCGGATCGAAGAAGGACTCCTCGTGGCAAAGAGGGTATCATCAGATGAGAATCCGGCAGATCCCCTCACGAAGGGACTGACTCGGGTTAAGCATCTCCAGCATGCTCGGAGCATAGGGCTGAAGGATGATATTAGATTTAGTAGTTAGATAACCTCGAAATTTGTAAAGTGTAATTGACATCTGATGATGAATAAAAGTGTTTTATTTATGAGTAAAGTGTTGCTATCTCTTGTCGATCGTTTACTATATTTCTTTTGCATGTTTTGACTTCTAGAATAATTTTTGTTTGGTATAACATATTATTCAAACCTCCACAGTCGGTCATATGTCGGAAGTAGGTATGAATCAAGACTGTCATGTTTGGTTGTAGAGGTCTTGGACAAGGCTACAGCAATCATGAATGCTCATAAGTTCTGAGCATTGGACTCAACCCACGCTCACTGGAATCACTTCATGGAATTCTATCTCGAGTGATCGTGAGACGGTAATATCGTATAAGTCTTCAAACCTAGAGATATGATTTGTTACTTACAATTTGGTTATGCATTGATTGTACGAAAAACGCATTGGTAACTCGATGTTATAAATCGCGCTCTTGTGTGTAATTCAATGAGTGGTAGAACAAACATATGAGTCGAAGTTTATCTATTCCTTCTTGGATTAGAAGCTGATATCTGGGCCTCTTGATGACTTTGTTTTGACCTATGTACCAGGCCCGGTCAGAACTAAATTGATGTGTTCAATGAAGTTCTTTGTCAAACAAATCGGAAATCGGGAAACAAACTGTTGGACAATAAGTAAGACATTGTTCTGTGTATTTGTCCGACTGATATCTAGAACAGAGGATTATATGATCACTTATCTTAAATGGCGTACCATCATCTTCTCAGTTCCGGGAAACCTTGTAAAGAGCTACGATTGCCAATCGGTTCCTGAAGTCATACTTGCAGTAATAGTTATTAGACTTATCCAAGTGGGAGACTGTTGGATAAGGTGTCTAAGTCCATAACTATTTCTGGTATGTACTTGACCCGACCCGGCATGGTCCATTTGGGTTGCATGGCACCGTGCAATTGGATAGACTAAATGAGAGAAATAACACTTGGAGATTATTAATATATTATAAGTTCTAATATATTAATAATATTATTTGATTAGTTTGATCAAGAATTAATTTAGAATTAATTATGTGATCAAAAGATAACTAATTAAATATATGGGTTGATTATGTAAATCATCCATATCTTGTATATTGGGCTAAGAGGCTCCATGGATTATCAAGTTGGGTTCCACCCATAGGATGCTCCATGGATACTCCATGGGAGTTACAAACCCATGGGTCATGGAAATGAAGAGTCATGACACATTAGGGTTTAACCCTAGATGTGTCAACACTATATAAGAAACATATTCTCCACCAAAATGGCTACACTAAGAAACAAGAGGGCTTGGCTGATTTTTGAGAAGTGTGTGTTCTCTCATAAGTTCTTCCAAGAGCATTTAGTGTTGTGTGAAGCATTTGAGGCATCACACTTGGGGTGCTAGGCTCACAAGGTTTCAAGGAACACAAACAACAACAAGGTAAGTTATTCTATCTATACTTTAAGTTAAAATTGTTCCCCATGTATGCTAGATAGGAATATAACCTTGGAATTCAACTTTGCATGATAATTAGACAAACATAGATCCAAGGTTATTAGGGTTGCATGTACACTTAGGAAGTGTTAGAATGCTCAAAACCCATCAACTATTTCTATAACCCTCTATCTCTGTTAGTCATATGTTGTCCCCTCTGCGTTATTGAAATAGATCCAACCTAGGACACAACATATGCATTTATCTCTAAAGTTGACTTCCTCCTTAATAATTGTTTACTCACCTAAAGTAAGGAGTCCTTAGGAAGTTCCTGATAACCAGGGTATATCGGGAAGTGGGGAACACGTTCTAGTGCAATTAAAATTGAACCATTTAAGAGGTTGCTTGTAGCTCTCGTTGCTCAATTTAAGTGGACAACGATACCCGTGGTCGTCGTCAGCTAAATGGTATATTTTGAAAAGTTTGTCGATACTCTTCGTGTTTAAGTGGACCACAATACCGGCAATTGACCAGATCTATTCAAGAAAGTGAAGGTACTGATAAACAAGTTCAGGCTGTCTCACAACTTTGATCCCAAATAATTTTCTTTTTGTTAAATTTGTTCATAGTTTTCTTCTATGCATAAATTTAGGGGGAGAATTAAAAAAAATCAAAAATCAAACAAAAATCAGAAAAATTAAAAAAAAAATCAAAAAATTCAAAATCAAAAAATAGTGTTATATTCTGTTTTATTTCTTGTTCAAGAAAATAAAAAATCGTTTTTGTTTCTGTTTTATTTTTTCAGAAAATATGAAAAACCCAAAAATAATGTGTGCTAAATTTTCTTTTAGTTTTGTTTTGTCTTGAAAAGTGAATTCAGGTGAAGATGAAACTCATGGAGTTTGTGTCGAAGATTTCTAAGCCAAGGCTTCATCCGTGATCATCGAAGAATTCTCATTTGAAGGAGCAAGAAATGAAGATTATTCTTTCGACATTCAATCTTTCAACCCCAGAAGCAAGGTGAAGCTGAAATTGAAGATTATGTGACAGATTGCATTGAAGCCTCCTCAATCAGTCCGTTGCTATCATTGTACTCGCTGAAGTGATCCAGAATATTTGTTCTCTCTGATGTTCTCTCTGAAGATTCTCAGGCTGAAAGCACTATCTTTCAAGAATCAGTACACCAAGCCTCCTCACCAAATGTGCGTTCAAAGTCAATTTTTTGAAGAAAATCCCAACCGCTCAAGATGAAGTCATTCATTGAAGATTCATATGTTCATCCTGATGCTATGAAGAAATCGAAGATTAATGCTGAAGCCAAGGTCTCGATGAAGATTAACAAGAAAAGCCAGCTACTTTTTATGGGGAGCTTGTTGGGTCATTTAGAAAAGAAAGTTATAAACCAAGGGGGGTATTTTTGGGTCAAAAATATGGTCTATACTTTACTTTTCTAGGAAAATATATTTGTATGTCTTGGACTGTAAATAACTTGGTGTTTACGGCCGTATACGTGTTTATGGTTGTGTTTACGGCCGTGAACAGGTTTACGACCGTAAACCCATTCACAGCCCATGTTCACCAAGCCCATGTTTCCTATAAATATAGGTGTAAGGGGTGAGGAGTGGAGTGATGAGTGAAAGAATAGAGGAGCTTAAGTGTGTGCATTTGAAGGTGTTCTAGAGAGAGAGAGAGAAAAGAGAGTGTGTGTTAGTGTGTGTGAATCTTGTATCCGGATCATCATTAATATCAATACATACAAGATTCATCATCTTCTTCTTCTTATTCTCTTCTATTTGATCTGAGATCATCTGGTTGATTGGGATTCCACACCATCAAACGGATCTGATTGATACACAAGAAGATTGGGGACCTACAGTAACCATTATCTTCTAAACCTAGGACATAATCCTCAAAGTGCAGGGCCCAGACTTCATAATCGCTGGGAAAGAGAATGGGAATCCTTGTTGTAAATCCAATACTGCTGATGGAATTAATTTGCAAGTCGTCATGCGACATTTTAACAAGATCTTCGAAACCTGTTTCAGAATCAGACGTGTAATAACTTAGGGTAATATTGAGATCCCAATAACAGTGTCAAGAACACAAAAATGACGAACCAAAAAGATCTAATTTCAGCGGAAACCCTAATAGCTTCTTTTAATAGAAGAGATGCGTATAGATTACACAGTCTCCTGCTCTGATACCAATTGTAGAGATTAAAATCTTAAAGATCGATAAGATTCAAACAGGTATAACAATAACACAATAATAATCAAACAGATGTTGAATGATTAAAAGTCATGCCTTAGGTGAACTCGATGAAGAATTTCATCTGTAGAGGCATGCTAGGTTTACAAGATCAACAAAAGAGTTACCAAAATAAGATGCACGCATGCATCATATATACTCTAACCCTAGAATTAAGTACGGGAGGACAGACACAACTCGTTTAAAAAACAGACTAATTACAAATCCCAATGACGCAACAACTAAATACTCTACATGTCGGTTATTATTATTTTTTAGAATGATATTTGCATGATTACCTTAATTCTAGAATGAAAAATTTTGTATGAAATTTGGGACGTTAGAGATAAACAAAAGAATGTTTATTGTTTCGCATCTCGTAACCATATTATTCATCAATATCAACCCTCAGTAAGGATTAAAATGTTCTTATTTATTTACTTTGGGTATATTCATCACATTTCTATTTATTTTTAAGGGAAAATATAAACATGTTTAAAAAACTATACTAGTATTCTGTTGTGATATGTCGGAGATGGTAGGATTGAGATCAAGGGTGGGTGTCGAGTTGGTTCCTTCTCCTGATATCACGGTACAAAGAAAAAAGATGATCGTTAGACAATTTCCATGAGTGATTCTCAGGAGGAAACTCCGATGATCAAGTTAGAATTGATTCCAAGAGAATATAGAGAATATCTGAGAGAAAAAGAGTCCAGTCCCCTTCTCCGTGGGGAAGAAGGGTTCTTTTATACATGATCGAGAGGCATGTGCCTCCTAACTAATTCTGTTGAGCCTTCCCTCATGATACGAGATGTGGTAGATTTATATTGAAGGATCCTTCATCACGTCTTTTGATCTCATTCCTCCCTTGGCTAGAGGTGAATCTTCGATATAATGATGATCGTGGTTGTCTTCAGATAAGCAAGTGGAGCTCTTTGATTGGCTCCATGTTTTATGGGGTATTTCTCCTGGGGATAAGAGGGTAAGGTGCAATTCTTCCCCTTATTTTCCATAACAGTGAGTCCGTACAGGCGGAGGCCTGTCCTTAGCCTTAGGCTGGTTATGACTAGACTCTAGCTAGGCCAAGCTTGGAGCTAGTTTGACTTTTATTCTTTAACATTTTTCCTGAGGGATACGTTAAAAAGTCCCTTCGGATTGTAGGCGTATGCGTAAGGTTGGTAGCATCGCCGTTCGAGCCTACATTACAACACGTGTATGTATAAGATTATTTCTGGCATTCGACATACTTAGACAACGCCATTGATATGTGTCATATCTATCATGAGACGGTTCGTGACACCAGGTTTACCTTTAAAATTCCCCCTTAACTCAAGACCTTTCACCTATTTCCTTCTTTTCTTGCTTTTGTTGTAGCGACTCAGGCATTTTTGTAAATTTTTTCATCACTCATTCGTTCCTATTGATGGATCATTATGGCAGAGTCCCTACCATAGAGGAATTTTGACTACTACAAGAACATTTTGGTTTCTTTCCAGAGCATGCCGTGATGATTCTGGCTAATGGATCATCGATCTATGACTACCCTCGAGGGAAAGTGGGGGTTCATGTTCATCTGTTCGAAGTGGGGTTACACTTGCCAACATCTGAATTTTTTGATATGATTGTGCACCACTACGGCTTTTATATTGACAAATTAATCTCAAGTGCCATTAATAAGATGGTGGGCTTCAAACTGATCTGTACATCCCTGGGTTGTATACCCACTTGTTGGGTCTTCAGTTACCTTATTTGTGCGTCTACGAACTCTGGCGTTCGCATTCTGGCAACAAGGTGGGGCACTCGTCAGTTGATCTCTAAGTAAGATATTCCGAAGAAAAATTGGAAAAGACATTGGTTCTTGGTCAACCGAAACCTTGTGGGGCATGGGTTTCTTAAGACCTGATACTTTCCCGACCATCTTCCCAAGATATTCGAGGATAACCTAGTTCTTGGAAAACGGTTGGGAAACATTATTGTCGTTAGAGAGAACTTGAAATATTTCATCCTTGTCGCAACCGGCATGAGTGCTTCCTAGAGGGTGCATGGGAAGATAGTGCAATTATTCTTCGTGAGAGATGGTATTCGCTCATCTCCCTCTCCCCATTTTTTATAAGAATAAGAACAAAGTATTTTATTGGTCTATCAATTCTCATGCTTGGTGTTTGTGTTTACAGGTGCCAAAGCTGAGATTTACCTGGAGATGGACTCGTGTCGCTATTATCAGGGTAAGCTTTATCAACGGGAGGTTGAGCTTGTGGAGGCTCATCCCCCTCCCGTATCTGAAAAAACATATGCGGGAGCTTGCTGGATTGCTCCCGGAAGAAGGGGAAAATTTTGGTTCTAGCGAACCTGCCTCGTCTTCTCAACCAAGTGTTGGGACTACTTTCCTAGCCCATTCTCCGGCCTCTGCTTCTGTAAATATTCATGTGATTGGTCAAGCAGGAAAAATTACTACTCCTATCCGGCGAAAACAAAGCGCGTGTGTGGTGCTGTTGTCGGACAAAGACACCGAATCTGATGGTGTAGGCCTCCGTCCTCATAAGAAGAAAAACACAGTGTTTGTGCCCAAGCTTCTTGACGGTATTAGGGATGTTCTTTGCTATGGGATTTCTGCACCCGTGCGAAAAGAGATAGTAGTGGTGCCTCGTTCTTCAAAGACATCGGCTTCTTCATTTATTGACTCGCTCACGACTGAACTCGGTGCTTGTTCTGTCCTTAAAGGTGCATTGGGTATGTCACGAGGCTTTCCCCCATCGGACATACCTTACATGGTTGAAAAAATGAGGATTGCGTCCCATCCCTTGGCTTCCGAAGCTTACATCCCAATTTGGGCAGTTACTAAAGACTTATTACTCTTGGAATACATTGCCACTTAGGAGTGGAGTTGTTGTGCCCATCCTCCAGTCACAATGAAGTTGATTACGGCTCAATCAGGCACACGCATGGCCGACAACCTTTGGTACGCAGCTGCTCAAACTTTTGCGCTTATTGTTACTGCCGCTGACTGGGTTTGCCGCCATATCATAAATAAAACTCAGCTGAAAACTTCTCAACATGTTGTTGCTAGATTGAGGGGGGAACCCTGTGATTCAAAGGCAGAACGTCAGAGGCTATCTGAGTAATGTTACATTGTGGCCTGTGAGAAGGCTGCTTTGGAAGATCATGTGGCTACTCTGGAAGACCAAGCATAGTGACTTGAAAATCAAGTGAGTTCTCTAGCTCGAGAGAAGGGTGTTCTTGTGAGGGGGTTGGCCAGATGCCAACATCAATTGGCTCGTGACCGGGTTGAGGGTGTTGTTTCTCGTGGAAACTTGCAATGGGTGTTGGAGAAGGGCATGGTTTGAGTAATCGATAAGGTTATTTAAAGTGAGGAATTTTCCAGTAGGATCCAAGGCTTACAGAAGGCGTGCAAGGCCCTTGGACTAGAAAAAGGGAAACAGTTGGCCCATCGTCCGACAACCTCTAGTGAATCTAACGCCCCAGACCTTGACCGTATCTCGGAAAAGGCCGAAGAGGTGGATGTTACCCTTTCATCCCTCACTGAGACAGATTTTGCAGGCCATTTTCGTCCGGTGGAGCTGGACTATGACAGCTTCCGCCGATTCTATCGTAGACTGGTACTAGGAAATTCTTCCTTGGACACTTGGGGCTTATTCTTGTTTGTCCCTTTTTTTAGTTTGTAATGTATCCACACTCCCTTGTATTGTATGTGTAATGAAAAATATTAGTTGCCAACGATAAAGAACTGTGTACCTTTTGCTTTGTACTTGGCATATGAATGATTATTCTATATTTTGCATTGAGCAGTGATATCCTTAGACAAGGATTATTTAACATTTCTACTGTAATTCTTTTCTATATATTCCCTTGTTCTAGGGTTCACGTTAATTAGCTAGTGTGCGTTTTGGACGTCGTGTAACCGCTAGACGTCGTGTAACCGCTACTGTTGGCTTATATGCTTTCAACAACCATTGAATTGTATGTTTAGTCAGGTTTCTTGTGTTACTTCGCTAAATGTTAGCCTATGTTCTTGGCTATATACTATGAGATTTAGTTACCCGCGTTTTAGCCGAGATCATCACCTCAAGATCTTTTACTATCTGATTTTCAGCGGAAAGGTTATGAATCTTTTTAGGATCCCTTTTTTCATGCCATTAATTAAAGTTTGTACATTCTCAGCTCTGAGATGTTATTGGCATGTTTTAGGTAAAGATTATGATTCTTTGAGACCTATTGTTGCATCCTTCTATAGATTTTGCTCAAGTAGCGTAAGTGATCAATCGTTGTTGCTACTTGGAAAATATAAATAACCTCTTTACTTTGTGTTTTTTCGATTGGTTAAACAAATTTTTGGAAAGCCCTTTCAAAGAAAAAATTATATTGACTAAAAAATAGGAAAAACACTAAACATTAGACTCTGAATTTCTAAGTGCCAGGGCTCGGACCTGCTCTTCACGCTAGCACTTGGAGTATGGTTATCTTATGCAGAGTTTGACCATACTCCCTTTTATCAGCCTTTGTTTTATTTTCGTTCGGGCGCTCTGATGTGGATGCCTCGTCATAGCAGTGTACCCTTTTCTCATTTCCTCCAAGTGTTTCTTGCTAACTTGGGGTTTCTTTCTGTTTCCACTACCGGGTGGTGTGAATTTTGCCCATCACCGCCTGTCAAACTATATAGGGCGTCTTGGGTGCAACCTTTCCTGTTGAATGTTGTGTTTTTGAAATTGGTGTGATATTTATGTTATTTCTTTCTTTAACACAGGCGACGTCTGCCTCTCTGGTCTTTGACTGGGTGTGAAAGATCCGAATTTCATCTTCCATGCTTTGTCGGTGTTTGCACTTCCCCTTTTCTTTGGCCTAATATGTGTTGTGACCTCGTGGATTATCTCTCATTGACTGGGTGAGAATTCCTCTTGCCCTTTTCTGTGTGTGCCAATTAATCTTTCTTTTCGCATGGTTATTCGGGGTATTGTTGTTATCATCAGATACCCTGCTTGGTTCCCCTCTACAATGGAGCTTGCATGTTAAAGTGATTGATGCTCCGTTACTATCTGTGTTGTCACCAGTGCATGGATTCTTCATCCCAAAGGATTTTTGTTCATCTTCAATACTGGTGAAGAGTTGATTCGACTCTTGAATCATTCTTCGCATGGGCATGGCTTGCCACTGATTGCGGGTTGGACTGGTGTTCCTGCTCGTGGGTAGGGATGAGATTTAGAACCGGAAAACCGGACTGGACTGGAATCAAACCGGAACCGGAACCGTTAGAACTGGAATATGTAAAATCGGTCCGGGTCCCAGGTTTAAAGAATGGCTCTACACGGGTTTCTGATCCTTCGGGTCCGGGTAATCGGGTTTAAGAACCGGAACCGGTTTCTATGGAAAGTTTAAAACATGCATATCTCATTCGTTTGAAGTCGGCTTGGCATGAGGTTTTTTTCCATAGTATAGTTTATAGTTTTTACATGATTTTAGACTATAATTTTGTCATTTTTGGGTTTATATTCATTGACTTATAGTCTCTCAAAGTTGGTATATCAAAGCTTGAAATTTTATGTTTTTCAACTTTTTTTTGTATTCTGTGATAGTTTTAAAACATGCCTATTTCATTCGTTTAAAGTTGTATTGGCATGAGGTTTTTTCCATAGTATAGTTCATAGTCTATACATGATTTTAGACTATAATTTTTTCATTTTTGGATTTATATTCGTTGACTTATAGTCTCTCAAAGTTGGGATATCAAAGCTGGAAATTGTATGTTTTTTAGATTTTTTTTATATTATGTCATAGTTTTAAAACATGCATATCTCATTCGTTTGAAGTCGGATTGGCATGACGTTTTGTCCAGAGTGTAGTTTATAGTTTGTATATGATTTTAGACTAGAATTTTGTTATTTTTGGATGTTTATTCATTGACTTATAGTCTCTCAAAGTCGGGATATCAAAGCTGAAAATTTTATGTTTTTCAACTTTCATTGTATTTCATGATAGATTTAAAACATGCATATTTAATTCGTTTGAAGTTAGAATAACATGCAGTTTTTTTCAAAGTATAGTATAGAGTTTGTACATGATTTTAGACTATAATTTTGTCATTTTTGGTTTAATATTCATTGATTTATAGTCTCCCAAAGTTGGGATATCAAAGCTGCGAATTTTTTTTCTTAGCTTTAATTTTGTATTTTGTGAAATTTTAAAACATGCATTCGACCCACTTTACCCGGTTCCCCAGGTTTTTCAATTTTAGACCCACTTTATCCGGTTCCATTCAACCCACTTTGATATTTCTAGGTTTTCCGGTTCTAGACCCACTTTACCCGGTACCTTACCCGGAACCGAACCGGAACCGGTTCCTATATACCAATCCAGTTTCCGGTCCTAAAAAATATCGTTAACTAGTTCCTGAGTTTTTCGGGTCCGGGTCTACCGGTCCGGGTTTTGACCCGCTCTCATCCCTACTCGTGGGTAGGCATTCCCTTGTCTTGCGATTTTTGCTACGGTTTCTGGATGAACTATCTTCGGGTCGGTGTTTTCTTCTTTCCGAGAATGGGATGTTGTGAGTCGTCTGAATGCATCTCTGTGCCTTTTCCTTGACTCGGTGTCCATCGTTTCTTCCGCCGCTGATCTCCTCTGTCGATTCTCCACGTTCTAAAAAAATTCACTATGACACGATCTGACTTCCTGCTTTTTTCCTGTTGGGTACTACATTCATCATCTAGCTTTGTTAATACGACCGTCGTTGGCCCATATCTTGTGTTGAACTTGATAATGCCATGGAGGGTGGAAGGAATCGCTTGTAGTTGAAAGAGTGTGGGTCAGCCCAGTAGGATATTATGTTCTATCGGACAGTCACCGACCCAGAACTCGAGTACTCTCGTTATCTGCTCTGCCCCATCATGACTAACTAGTGTAAATGGGAGCATAATTGTGCCTGTTGGCCAGATGTCATGACCAGTAAACCCAAGTAGCGGGCCCTGCTTTGGTGGTTGGAGGTACATTTTCCACTCGATTGGCAACCACCAAAGGCAGTGCTCATAGATTACATTGACCCTACTTCCATTATCAATCTATATATACTTAACACGTTTTTGACTAATGAACCCTTGATGTGTAATGATTCGTTCGGATCCCAATGTTTTGGTCTGGGATCACTTGTTGAAAAGGTTATGTTAACCATGTTTTGATTGTATACCGCCCGTTGGCTTGTTGGCCTTGACGATTGTTGCATGGGCATGGCCCAGTGATGGTTAGTATCTCTAGCCTCTTATCATGGCCCTTTCCGCTGTCCTTTTGATTTCTAGGTTGGTGTTGGTCTTCATCAAATTTTGTTCTGAGCTCTTTTACAATGTCAACTATGTTTCCAACTAGCTTCTTCTCATCTATCTCCCTTTTCAACACCGTGCATCCAGTGGTATCATGAGTTTTTCTCTTGTGGTACTCGTGGAACTTGGCATTGTCCTTGCTCTCCTTTGATGGGCTTTTGTTCATTGTATGGACATCTGCATGACCATTCCTATTGTTATCTTTGTTGAACGGCCTGTACCTCATTGACATTTGCCTAGACTGGCGATGGACTTTTGTTCATTTCATGGACATCTGCATGACTTAGCCAGGATGCCGCCTCCTCCTGTTTGATGCGTGCATTGGCTACGACTTTGAAATCGTCCTCCTTTCGCTCTTCTCCTTAAATTTATCTCAGCTATTTTTCCACTCGGGACTTGAGCTCGTCCCTCGATCTAGGAAATGTCCCTTGCATGTTCTTAGATAGGGTCCCCGGAAACAGACCTTGAGCGAAGGTGCCCATCACTAGGAACTCTTCATGTCCTAGTAGATTCAAGGTAGTTAACATGAATCGATCGTAGTAGGCATGAATTGAATCTCTTTCTTTTTTCTAACACGCCATCACAGAGTTGCGTCCCCATTTCCTTTCCTCAACTTCATGAAGTTGTTGAGGAAAAGGAACTTCGGTTGCTCAAAATTCAAAATACTACCTGGTCTCAGAGACTTGAACCATTTTTGTGTGTTTCCTGTTAGGGTGCAGGGAAAATAGGTGTAGGTGAAGCAACGATCCATCTTAAGAGATGTCATCGTCGACTTGTAGTTGTCGATGTGGTCATTTGGGTCAGAAGTGGTGTCGTATTTTGGCATGTTTGGTATCATCGTAGTGTGTGAGATCTCGTATTGTAGTAGTTCATGGCTGAAATTAGAGCTTGTATTTGCATGGGTTTGTCCATGTATGAGTATGTTATAACACCATAGGCCATATGTTGTTGCGCCTGGTAGGGGTTCACGTACATCTGGTTGTACATGGCTGCCGATACGATGTACAGGTGATATTGTTGCAAGTTTTGGTGTGACCCAATTTGATGAAATGTGTATTTCCAGGTTGGGTGAACTATGTATAGGTTTTCTCTCGTGCTCTATTGTGCAGACGGGTTGAATGGTTGAGCAGTCGCCATGAAAGGGGTGAATTCTGGTGCTGCTGAGAAATGGTCGCCAGGTTTGTAGGAGCTGGATCCCTAGTTGATCGAGGTATGCATGCCTGTGACTTGCGGTTGAGACACTTATGGGATTGGACCTTGAGCTTGTTGTACGAACGGGTTGAACACCTGTAACAATCCAATTTTTAAGGCCAAAAATTTCATTTTGATATAACGATTTAGAAAACATTTATAAAGAAAACATCATTGAGTTACATCATTCCACCAAACCATAAACACATGTTTCAAAACCATATTATAAAAAATAATAATAATATCAAAGTACAATCCCAAGAATCTCATAATGCAGAAATCATGTGTGTATGATGTGTTGCTACCGTGTCGGCTCCTTCCCATTGGATGAAGAGTTACCTGAAACAATACTGAAGACTGTAAGCACAAAGCTTAGTGAGTTCCCCCATCATACCACATACCATACATAACACATGTTGCCATGCATATCTGAGTGCCCGACCTACCCTGTTGAGCATACCGGGGTGCTCAACCTACCCCTGTTAGGCATACCGGGGTGCCTAACCTACCCCTGTCAGACATACCGTGATGTCCAACCTACCCCTCCGGTTTATCTCAACCGATTATGAGGACTATTTCACCCCTACTACTACCACATAAAAACATAACGTAATCATATTGTCATGCATACCGGGGTGGCCGACCTACCCTTTGACCTATCGACCGGTTATGGGGACTATTCTCCCTTAATACCACTATCACATAACATCATATCATACTAGCACATAAAACATAATAGGTAATGGCAAACCAGACAATTATCACAAAGACAATCATCTCAACTAGAATCAACTTACTAGTGGGTCGGCATTAACATCCTTGGCAAATTCTTTCGCAGTTGTCCGTCTTTCATAAATCCAAGAATTTCACCTCTGAATCTGAAATACGAATGCCAGTGGAGTCCTAAAAGCAACATCCGTTGATCCCTGGTCAGCATCGTTTATGGTTGAGACTAGGATGGTATCTAATCGTCTTCGAGCCCCCAACTTTCATTCTTGATTAATGAAAGCATCCTTGGCAAATGCTTTCGCAGTTGTTCATCTTTCATAAATCCAAGAATTTCACCTCTAACTATGAAATACGAATGCCCCCGACTGTCCCTGTTAATCATTACTCCGATCCCGGAGGCCAATGTAATAGGACCAAAATTCTATGATGTTATCCCATGCTAATGTATACAGAGCGTATGCTTGCTTTGAGCACTCTAATTTCTTCAAAGT